AAATTTAACTTAAATTTAATTAAACTTAAGTGTTGCAATCATAACGCATATATTTGATACGAGAGCTTTACTTTAGAATCACAAGAAACTGAAAAATATGATAGCCTTTTATTTTGGTATATACTGAACATGGATAAGAGTAATTGTGGCATATTAAAATCACAACTATATTTGTAAGCTCCGTTTCCAGAGAACACATGCATTACTTGGCAACATGTGAAATGTTAATTACAGGTTAATATTTCACTTACATACTGCACTATTTTCTACTACGCACAACAAAATATTCTTCCTAAACATCAATGATGAATTCCTATTAACAAGCAATTGCTAAGCAACAAATGGACACAAATCTCATGAGTGTTGAATCTTCTAGTGTGGTAAAGAGAGCTAAAAAAAACAAACAAGCAAATAAATAAACGAAATACATTTGCAAATTAATGTGGTGAAATAAAAAAGGGTTAGGCTGACGTAGATGATGTTTTCATAAAAAGTCTTCTCTAACTTGCTAGTATTTAAACTGACAATTGAGGGGTGCCTGGGTGGCTCAGTAGGCTAAGCGTCTGACTTCGGCCCAGGTCATGATCTCACGACTTGTAAGTTTGAGTCCCACATCAGGCTCTGTGCTGATAGATCAGAGTCTGGAGCATGCTTCAAATGTCGCCCTCTCTCTCTGTCCCTCCCATGCTCACGCTCTGTCTCTCTCTCTCTCAAAATAATTAAACATTAAAAAAAAGTTTAAACTGACAACTGAATGACGGGAAAATACAGAGGGAAATTATAGCAGGCAAAGGGAACCACACATGGAACATTACTAGGCTGGAAAAAGGCAGTCTGAGCCAAGGTGATAGCCGTTGTAGGGGGAGGGATGCTCAGGGCAGATAACACTGCTGTTTCCAGGCAGCAGTGAGGGATTTTTATTTTATCTAACAGTAACAGGAAGCCATTGAAGTGGGAGACGCAGAAATATGACCATGTCCAATTCGTATCTTGTTTGTTACAAAGGGAGAGATCTCTCACCTCAAGGAAACTATAGTTGAAAGATTCCCAGTCTTAGAGGAAGTATAAACTAAAACTCTCAAAAGCACCTCAGGAAATAAAGAATAAGCATTTAGAATATTAGAATACACTTTATCTTCAGAGCACCAAGAGCAAATGATTGTTCCAGTCACATAGGGTTTTTCTCTTTCCTACTACCTGTTCAAGCTCCAGAGCTGCCACATACAGCCTGTGAATGGGCAGAAAAGAGTGGAAGAACAAGCTATAGAAACAGGTCTATACTGAAGACAGGTCTATATTGTCATTTCAATTAGATGAGAATATTTTTGTTTTTTTAAAAAAATATTAGAGTGACACAATTTTCACTTACCTATGCGTGACAACGAAGCAATGGACCTATAATCGAGTTTATCCTGGGAAGTGCATAACTAGATACCGGAGAAAACAATGAAAGTCCTGTTTGGGCGTGCCTTATTGAGCCTATCTCTGTAAATAAACACTTCATTTGTAATGCTGAAAGGGCAGGAAGGAATTGGTCATTTCACAAACTGCAGTTTAAACAACGTTTTACAACATTTAAACATGAGCTGATTTTCTTTGAACCCTAGGTTTGCTGTGTTTGTAGAATGTGTCACATGAAGTCCGCCAGGAGGTAAGCCCCAAGACAGGCTTTGGCATTCTTTCTCACTTGCTGCACCTCCAGTGCACTGAAGAATACCTTGAATACAGTATGTGAATCAATATTGAGTCAACTTGAGCAGACTACATAGGACTACCTCATTCCTATCATCCTCAGAAATTTTCAAAATGAAATCTTCTTACTTTGTAGTTGAATTTGATGTTTAAAAATATAACTGAAATCTTTTTTTTTTTATTTTTTTTTCAAAGTTTATTTATTTTTGGGACAGAGAGAGACAGAGCATGAACAGGGGAGGGGCGGAGAGAGAGAGGGAGACACAGAATCGGAAACAGTCTCCAGGCTCTGAGCCATCAGCCCAGAGCCCCACGCGGGGCTCGAACTCACGGACCGCGAGATCGTGACCTGGCTGAAGTCGGACGCTTAACCGACTGCGCCACGCAGGCGCCCCTAACTGAAATCTTTTAAAGAAGATATTTATACAAATTCCCTTCTCAAATATTTCAAGGCAACATGATTATTGTAGCAAAGCAGAGAAAAACTGAATTTATTTAGATCTCTTCTGGGAAAAGTACTATTTATGATTTTATAGAACATGTCAACCCACAAATTCATAGTCCTATCTTTAATGATCTAAGAATTTGTCTAATGGGAAGTATTAATGCTGTCTTTAACTCATTGGTTAGGAATTCATTTCAGTATCTTGGAGAAAAGCACTTTGTATGATACTGTGGAATATGTAAACATGTTCAAGTCAGTCACACACTCAGGAGTCTAAGGATTTAATAGTAAAATTGGAGAGTTTGTGAGCATCTCTGGCAAATTGGTAAAGTGAGTCCATGGATTGAGATTTCTCTGTAAGAATAAGTCTCTAAGCAGAGAAATCCAAGCAAATAAGCCAATTAAATAACAGTGCCTAATATCACAAGGAAGCAACTTGGTGACTGTTATTCACTACTGGGTATAGCCCAGGCCCAGGTTTGGTACGAATGGTAAGTAAAATGGAAAAAGCCTTTTTACTAAACCTCTCTAAGTCACTGGTGCTGTGAGCAATACTTTGTGCTCAGGTGGAAGAATAAGGTTCTCAAGGGAGAAAGCTCTGCCTTTTCACTTCTGAGTCAAATAGAACGTGGCTTTTGTACAAAAAATGCTAGTTTAATCGATACTGAGAGAATCCAGAACATTGGCATTAACAGAAGTGTTCAGTGCAGTTTGGCAATTGTAGAAAGATTCAGCATAGTCCAGAGGAAGCAAAAGGGATGACTGGAGAAAGTTATATATGACAGAAGTCACAGTATCTGTATATCTTGAGATATTGCTGTATTCCCAAAGTGTGGAAACCACACTTGACATTGACAGGAATATTCACTGGAAGAGGCCAAAGGGGGAGATTTCAGAAGAAAAATGGCCGAAAACATGTGATAGCTGCCGGGTATGTTTGAGAAATACCAAATATATTTAGATGGGGACTGCATAGGGATTGCTATGGTAGGTGGCTAAAAGAATAATTGAAATAACACGTTTCAGCTAAACTGATAGGTATATCACTCGGAATATACAATTTATTTATTCTGTATATATATTTTTTCTTCTTGATGCCCTTATCTCAATGAATGACACCATCAGCCACTGTATTCCCCATGTCAGAAAATTGCTAGTCATTATTAAGTTAAGGTCTTCTCGCTCTTCACATCTGGTGCTAGAACCAATACTGTAGATTCTACCTACTAAAAAATTTTGGCAAATGCTCTCATTTAAGCCTTTGCTATTTCTCGTATGAAGTACAACATAATTCTGAGTAGCGTTCCTGCCGCTAATGCTTTTCTCTACAGTGCTCCAGTGAGATCATTGTAAAAAAACAGTTCTCATAATTTAAGTCCCCTCCTCAAATCCTTTAAGATCTTTCTAATAATTTCAACATAAATTTCAAATCCTCAACATATCATCAAATCTATTTCAAAAACTAGACCTTGCCTATCTTTTATAGAATGCCTCAACATGCATAATATTCTCAATATGCGTTACTCTTTCTTATTTAATAATTTATACAAACTGTTCACCTATGTTCAGTTATCAAGCATACACATGTCGGCATCCTTCAATTTTTTAGCTTAAATATCTCTATCTCTAAGAAAGTTCCATCTTTTTATCCCCATCTGTAATAATAATAAGACACTTTCAATTATAAGTAGAAACATTAACTAGTTTTAAAAAACAGATTGCGGCTGGAATCTGAGCTCAAGTTTTAAGAAACTTGTCTCTCTAATTTTTTGACACAGCTCGCTTCTGCCTGGTTACTTCCATGAATTAATTTAGGGAATTAAAATTGTCATCAGAAGCTTCCTCCTCTGAACCTCTTGTCTTCTCTGGTCTGTTTGGTTTATTCTTCTCCTAGCATGGGCAATACAGCTGCTGGCAAACCTACAATTACATCATCCTGGCTTAGTAATGTCAATTCTTTCCCAGTGCCCGTGTCTCAATCACAATGCCAGGGAAGAGTCAGATAGGCCTGACAATCCCAGACCCAAATTGAATCTCCTTAGAGTTGAAGAATGCTTCTTGGCACTCTTAAATTATTGGCTTACTCCTAGGTGGTAAAGCAATACAGTAACTGACAGTCTCCTAAAAACCGTATGTGGTAGAGATGGACATATTTAAATAAATCAGAAGACTCGATGGATTAACATGCACATACAAAGTTACAATAGTCCAATAGCCCCTTTACCTCCAAAACTTAGGCTAGTCATAGCTCCTGTATGCTCTTGTGGTAGCTTACATACACCTTTATCATGGTGCATATCTCGTTGTACCATGTTTTTAAATTTGTCACACCCTCTGATAAATTCCTCAATGATAGATGATGATGACAGTGATGATGACGATGATGATGGTGATTTTATTTCTGTATTATCAATACTCTGTATGGACTGGCAAAAAATAGATATTGCATAAATGTTTGATAAATAAATAAGTGTCAATATCACAGCATCTGCACCATGTTTCTCTCTTAAATTACACTTGATCTCAATCAAGTGTAATTTGACTTTCCATTTGCCTTTTTGTCTTTTATTGAACAATGGAAAAGACTAATTTTGCGCCTTTAAAATAATTTATTGTATGAATTACATATTACATTTAACATAATCAATTTTATCATATTTAACAGTGGTCTTCCCCAGAGAATAACATTTTTACAGACCCTAATATTAAAAATGTTCTTTTTAATAATCTCAGGACATCAGGTTTGGAAAATATGAGTATTTCCATTTAATCTGCATGATGTATTGTATATTAGAAATAGGTTTTTTGCTTCTTTGTCGGTACCTATTTTGAATAACTTTAAAAAAGAACCCAAGACTAGCCAAAACCACATCATTTTTTTTATTATTTTATGACAGGAAAAATGCTTGTGCATTTACAATTACTGAGTACATTTAAATCATTATTCATTTATGGAATAACATTAATTTCTGAATAGTGTGGCACCACATATGAATGATTCAAAACAAAGCAGAGTCTCTTCAAGTCTTTTAGGTCCTCATATCAACCTCCTATTCGCTGTTGCCACCCACAGATACTTCTCAATCTGAAGAAAAGCCATTATTAGTCAGATAACTAGATGAGACTTGTAAAAAAAAAAAAAAAAAAAACAAGACAATAAATTTAGTTAAAGAATTAAATCCTCAGAAGACAAAAAAAAGGATATATAACTATTTTGAAGCTATTAGCTATGGAAATTCCAAAACACCTTTAAATTAATTTTAAAACAATAGTATTTTTCAGTTATTTTTCTCACTCAGAACAAATTCTATTTTTCATTTTTTAAATGGCTCCTTTATTTTAATGCAAACAAGCAACATATTGACAAAAAAGTTATTCTCAACATATAAGGATATTTATTATCTATTAAATTAAAAAATGTTAAACATGCTCAATGTATTTTCAGGCTTAGAATGTAATCACTGATTCATCCACTTGTGTAATGTACATTTATTAAACAAGAATTGAGTTATACAGTCAAATGTTGAACTATTTAGTTGATATAAAATTTAATATCTATTGACTATGTGTGATAGTCACCTGTAGTAATATTTATCTAGTTTTCTAATGATTATAAAAAATAATAGGTATTTAATATTATATATTAAAAGATAGTCCAATGCAACAGATTAGTTAAGAGTTTGCCTCCAGAATTCTGGACAAAGAATTCTCTTCCTTATCCATATACAAGATACTGAAACATTCTGTACTTTGATTTATTCATCTGTCCAACTAGAATGGTAATAATGATACCTAACTCTAGGAATCCTGACAAAATTAAGTTTTAATTAATACTAGTATTTTTCTTCTGTCACTGGACACGATGAAAATAGATAGGGTAAACATTTTCTACTAAGTATCAAGAGAGGGAAATGTGGGGCCATAGTGTCATTTTAATAAGTAGTGAGGAAACAAATTAAGTGCATTTGAAACTAAAAATATTTCACATAAGGTTTTTAAAGTATTCTGTCAAAATTAATACCTCAATATAAAAATGTAATTAAAATATTTCCAACATTAATTTTAAGGTTTCAGGATCAAAGTGAGTGATTGTTTTTCAAACTGCATTTGTTTTTCTTTATTATATCTACCGGTTTAAATATTCCCTCAAGAAACATTGACAGAATTCACTGGCATCTGAATCTGCTTGGGAATTCTGGTTTGGGACTAAGATCATATTAAGCCATGTCGTTGACCACCTGGTGTTCATGAACTCTGAGAGACATATGACTGTGAAAAACAAATAAATAAACAAAAATACAAGCCAGCCATGTATAGAATTATAGTTTTATGTAGGACTATGTAAAAACTGTTTTTATGTAGTCTGGGGGAGACTATGTATTATAAAAAAGTATAAGTTTATTATATATGTGTACTAATTAGTACAGAGAGTGGTCCATAATAAACACATATACATCTTTGGCTTTAGGCTTCATATGGGATGATGAAGAAACTGTGATTGGAGGCTGGAAGGGTAGTAATTTATATTATTTTGTGGTGAAACATTTTATAAAAAGTATCACTTGTGATAACTTGGAAGGCAGGTGACATTCTTGAATGAGCTTTGACCTATAGTTGGGGAGGCTGGGAAATAAGATGTAAAGAGTACTTCTAAGTTGCTATGGGTATCATTTGACAAGGTATTACAAGAAAGAAATGAACTCAGAAAATAATTGCAAGAGAGAATAAAAGGAAAATAAGATAAAAGAAAATTAAAAGGATTCTAAAAATTACAGAAATATACAAAGTTGGAATATGGAAGATTCTTCACTCTATCCTATAACAGATAAAACTGAGATATTTGAGCAAGGAAAGCCAATTTAATTCATGGAAAAGATGTTTGAGTCAATTAAGCTTGTGCTCAATAAAACTTTTCTATTGCACAAAATGGTTCAATTAAAAAGAGACTGGGGACACCTGGGTGACTCAGTCTGTTGTGCATCCCACCCTTAATTTCAGCTCAGGTCATGATACCAGGGTTGTGGGATCGAGCCCAGCATGGGGCTCCATGCTGGGCATGGAACCTGCTTAGGATTCTGTCTCTCTCTCCCTCTGCCCCTTTCCCTTGCTCTCTCTCTCTCTCTCTCTCTCTAATAATAATAATAATAATTAATAAAGAAATAAATAAAGGAAATAAAAGGAGAGACACTAAGGCAATGGCTCTTCATGTTGGCTCACAGTTGCTTCAGGATCCAAGAGATGACCGAGGTCAGCAGGCGTATTACTCAAAGCACTAACAGACATGACATCTCCTGAGTTCCATGACAGATAGTGGTGGTAGTAAGACCAAGGCCATATGGGACTATAGCCAACTCTATAGGTAGATAGGGCTGCCTCTGGGTCTGTAGCTCCAACCACCATTAGTGAGCTTGCCACTTGGGCATAGGTCTGCTTTCTTAAAACAGCCCTCCTCAGTCTTGGGCTCCATCAGGGCTTCATAACTTCCTACTTGAATCCCAAAGATCCCACAAGCCACCTTTATCTCTGGGCGGCTGCCAAATTATTGTTGCTATGGGACATATGAAAATGGGCCCTCCAATTTCACCATCTTGCTGATGTCCTGATTATATTGTTCAAAATCATTTTCCTCACCATTTTATTATTTATTTATTTATTGCTTAACATTTTTTATTTATTTTTGAGAGACAGAGTGCGAGCTGGGGAGGGGCAGAGAGAGGGAGATGCAGAATCTGAAGCAGGCTTCAAGCTCTGAGCTGTCAGCACAGAGCCCAGTGCAGGGCTTGAACCCACCAACCGTGAGATCATGACCTAAGCTGAAGTCGGATGCTCAGCTGACTGAACTACCTAGGTGCCCCTTCTTCACCATTTTAAAGGAAGATTATATCCACCCTTTAATATCAAGCTTGGACATGTAACTTGCTTTCGTTAAGAAAAGGTAAGCAGGGATGACCTATATTACTTCAATGCAGAAATGTTAAAGGCCAACACATAGCTTGCCAGAGTCTCCTTTCTTTTCTCAAGATTGAGAATGTTTTGTTTTGTTTTTTAATTGTTTAAAATGTTTATTTTTGAGAGAGAGAGAGAGATAGAGTGTGATCAGGGGAGAGGAAGAGAGAGAGGGAGACAAAGAATCAAAGCAGGCTCCAGTTTCTGAGCTATCAGCACAGCCCCATAAGGGGCTCGGACTCAGGAACTGCGAGATCATGACCTGAGCAGAAGTCAGACGCTTAACTGACTGAACCACCCAGGTGCCCCAAGATTGACAGTGTTTAAGAGACAATTCCTATTTTAGCTTGGGTCCTGGAGTGAACATAAATGACAAAACTATTCTGTATTTTTTTCATTATTTTTAAAACAGCATAACTTAATCTTATTTAACTGACACTCAAGGAAAACAGCCTACATTGCTCACTTGTATGCAAGCCTAAAACCAAGTCTTACATAGGTTCACTCTTACATAATGAGACAGATCCATATCACAATAGCCAAAGAGAAGAAACAAATGAAAATAACTTAAAGTAGACTTTTGCCCAATCCAGCCTTATTAAGGTTACATTCTTGAAAATGTGGCAAAATCTGTGAATTTGCACTTTATCAGCCAATACTACTCCTTGCAAAAAATATGGCTTTAGATGACAGGGCAGAGAGGATAAATACCATAGAGGCCATACTTATTATTAATAATATAAAATACAGACTTTCCATATAAATACCAGTAGAGTGTGTCCAAACAAACTCTATTTGAAATATTCTCTACACTTTGGATTGTTAAAATTACTTATATTTGTGCTTTATAATTTCAATGCATTTTTTTTTTTATTTGAGAGAGAGAGAAAGAGCATGAGTGGGGGAGAGGGGCAGCAGAAGAGAGGGAGAGAGAGAGACAGAGAGAGAGAATCCTAAGCAGGCTCATTTCTCAGCGACACTGGGATCATGACCTGACCCAAAATCAAGAGTCAGATGCTCAATTAACTGAGCATGGCGCCCCTCAATGCAAATTTTTTAAATTTTTAAAAAAACTTTTTAATTTAATTTTTTAAATTACATCCAAATTAGTTAGCATATAGCGCAACAATGATTTCAGGAGTAGATTCCTTAGTGCCCCTTACCCATTTAGCCCATCCCCTCTCCCACAAGCCCTCTAGTAACCCTGGAACTATTTGTTCTCCATATTTAAGAGTCTCTTATGTTTTGTCCCCCTCCCTGTTTTTATATTATTTTTGCTTCCCTTATGTGCATCTGTGAAAGATATTTTCTCTCGGTTACTTGGTCAAAGTCAGTGAATGCTCTCAATAAAAATCCTTAGCACTAACTAGTAGCAGAGTTTTATTAAATTGTTTATAAATACACAGATGCTCATTATCAAGGCTTCATAGGGTCTCTTTTTTCTCTATATTTCATTTAGTAGAGATTACTTCTGCCTGTACACACTGCTACCATTATTCAAGATCTCCATATTTTTATACTCAGACTTAGCACTCTCTGAAGTCTGAATATTTGTTTTCCTTATTAGCTGCCACACAATCTTAAGTATATTTCCTCCATTCAACCCATAAAGGTATAAGATATGGGCAATACAATTCATAACAATTTACCTTTACTGTTACACAGTCAGATCAAGAAATCCAGAACATGCAAAATTGTTCTTAATTTCCAGACTTGATTTGAAAGTTTAAGGCCGTGTATAGTCTACAGATGATAAAAGTTGGTCATGGGTCATATTCAAATGAATGATCTTAGGACCTTGGTTCTAACAGAAAAAAAATAATATTTGTAAAGGACTGGTAATGGGTGTGGCTGAGCCTGTAAGTGAGAATCAATATTGTGTTTTCTTCTTCCTTCAACACTCACAGCAAGACATGGTTTTTCTGCCTCCCTTAAAGTTAATGCCACCTTTTCCTGGGTTCTGGCAAATGAAATCTAACTAGAATTAAAGTGGCTAATGCCAGATAACCTGTAAAAAATGTCTTGTGCTGTGCTCAGTCTTTTTCCTCGTCTGCATGTGGATTTTCATGACACTGAAGTGGGAAAGGCAACACAGTAGAAGAACCCTGAGTCAGTGAGTCCTATGAGGTACAGAGCCACTTTCTCAAAGTCACTTACTCCATCTGCATCGAATTGAAG